CATATACATATACATATATATATATATATATAGATTTCCTCTTTTTAAAGGAATGGTCGGAAGCTATTATTTGAGCCCCAACCATCCCTCATTAACCTAAGAATTTGAGCACCACACCCTACACTCGGGAGAAATCTATATATATATATATATATATCCTAAAATATGCTAGTAAGTGCAGGATTAGTAGGACAAATTGATAAAAATCATTACCTGTTGATTAGAATGGGCTTCAAAACGTGGCGCCTTGGATCTTAGCTTCTCAGCTTGATCATATAAGTTGTAGTGAAGGTAGTTCCTAAGAAGAAGATTAAGAAGGGTTTCCTGCCATCAACATAGTATAATTAACATCTGGTCTGCCACTCTCTCACACAAACATGCACAAAATATTAATAGAACAAAACTGCTAACCTGACCCAGTTCATCATGTCTTAAGGTGGCCATTCTATGAAGGGCAAGAAGATTTCTGAATTGGGAAAAAAAAAAAATTAGCAGGTGAAGGAACAAGTGCAGAAAGAAAATAGGTAATCTATTGTAACTTGTATTTTCTTTAGGGGATATTTGGTTCCTTGCATTAGTGGTGTAAGATAAACCAAATGCAAGGGATTTCAAAATTCTTGCGCTATGTCAGATGAAAACGGAACGCAGTGTCAAATTTTAGTGAATTTGGATTTCATGATGTAATTCAAAACTAGTGTATTTTGAATTTGTTAGATTTAGGTGATTTCCGAATACACTTCAAAATGCAGCCGATTGTTGCTGACACCGGCACCCGCTGGCAGTCAACCACCAACGTCAGCCGCCCGCCGGCGCCTGCCGATGACGGTCACATGCCGTCGTAGGCTTCACTGTCACAAATCACCCCCGCGGCTATCACCAAGCATGTTTTGATTTTTTTTTTCTTCAAACAAAAAACAAAAATATAAATTCCTACATTTACTTTAAACCAAACCAAATAACTTCAAAGTATTTCAATTATATTACCTTCCTTTTACACTACATTCCTTTCTCAGCAAACCAAACAACCGTCAAGTAAGAAGTTTCGTGGATCTTTTTTTAATCTCACGTCTAATTTTACCATTAGATTAACAGCTTACCCGCGAATTTCAGCAAGGCTGTTTGTGAGTTCATGGCTCAATGAATAATAAAAATATAGCCTAGATGCTAAAATATCAACTGTCCTTCTGTTTATGTTTTTAAGACGAGCAATACTAGCAGAGGAACAAGCTTTAGCCTGTAAGAAAAAACAAACAATGAGGTCATAATGAATCAAAGCTTTAAGTTTGATTTATATGAAAATGAATACAAAAAGAAAAACAATCCACCTCATCATATCGTTTCTGATCAATCAGAAAAATAAGCACCAGCAAGTAACAGTAGATTTCAATCTCAGGCAAAAAATACTTGGCAGGAAATTGTGCAGCTGAAGATGCAGTATCAACATCCATATCACGTTCATCTTCCTGAAGGAACCTCGTGTGGGTTAACCAGATGTTGTTAACGTAATAGTTTGAGCATCAAATATTAGGACAAAAAAACAAATAGAATGCTTTTTATCAAAAAAAAAAAAAAATCTTAATCTCGGTTAATCATTCACGATCAATATTAAACACATTTATCAATAAATTAGCTTAGATGGCAGGCTAGAGCATCATTAAGTTACCTTAAGTGTATTAGATGCTTCAACTTTAGGTCGTAAAAATAAATCTCTGTTCATCCACCTTTTTTTTATACATAAATTAGAATAAAATGGCAAATAAAAAAACAGTATTCATGCAAACAACAACAACAACAACAACAAGCCTTTATCCCATTAAGTGGGGTTGGCTTTATGAATCATTTTTCTCCATGGCATCCTATTGAGTGTCATATTTTCATTTAATTCAAATAGACTAAGATCATTTTTTATACAGTTTACCTGAGCCTTTTTAGGTGTACCTCACTCTTTCTTGACATAAGTCGAATCTAAAACATCTACTCTCCTAACATAATCATCGTGCTCAACATTTGATGTGACCAAACCATCTAAAACGACTCTCTCTAATATTACCTACCCCAGAAGTTATACCAACCCTATCACAGATATATTCAATTCCCATTTTATCTCTAAGAGTCAAGCCACTCATCCACCTAAGCATTTTCATCTCAGCAACGCTTAACTTTGTTTTATTCTTCTCTTTTAAAGGTTAACATTTTGCACCATAAAACATTGCAAGTCTCACCACCATCTTATAAAATTTTCATTTCAGTATGAGTGATACTTGTCGATCACATAATAGGCCTGATGCAAGCCTCCACCTCAACCAACCAACTTGAATTCTACTAATAATATCCCCATCTATATCAGCATCACTTTCAACTATACGTCCGAGAAATCTAAAAAGATCACACCTTTTAATCATTTGATCACTCATAGTTACAACATTGCCACAACAGCCACTACTGCTAAAATTACATTCAATGTATTCAGGTTTAGATCTACTCAAACGAAGGCCCTTAGATTAATGTAGACCTCCATAATTCAAATTTTTCCTGACCTCTTTCTCTAGTTTTATCCGCAAGAAGGATATCATCAGTGAAAAACATATAACAAGGTACATCCTTTTGTAAATGTCCATAATTCATAACTAAAGCAAAAAGATATGGGCTTAAAGCCGATTCCAGATGTAATCCAACTGAAATAGGAGAATACTTCGTCAATCCTCCTGTTCGAACCACAAGTAATTGCATATCTTTAGTGACTTAAATATAAATCATATCAACACATTTCTTCTCTAGAACTCTCCAAAGGACTTCTCTTGGAATCTTATCGTAATTTAATCGTAAGCTTTTTCTAAATCAATAAAAATCAAATGTAGATTCTCCTTTCTATCTCTGAACTTCTCCATCAAAGCTCTTAAAAAATGTATCGCTTCCATAGTAGACCCATCAGACATAAATCCAAACTAATTATGAGAAATCTTTATATCACGCCTTAACCTATGTTCAATAACACTCTCTCATAATTTTAAAGTATGACGCATCAACTTAATTCTTCTGTAATTTCTACACTCTTATGCATCTCCTATATACTTAAAAATGGAGATAAAAAAACTCTTCTTTTACTCCTCAGGCATCTTTTTAGTTTTTGAAATAATATTAAAGAGTTTAGTAAGCCAAGAAACTCTCAAATCTCCTAAATATTTCCACATTTCAATTTGGATATCATCAGGTTCTACTGATTTTCCGCTATTGGTTTTTTTTAAAGCCTCCTCAAATTCTTTTTTACAAATGTGGACATAAATATAAAATATTTTGCTATTATTAATATTATTAAGATCACTAAGGTTATCATTGAAAAGTTTATCAAAATAGCTCACCTACTTATGTTGAATCTTTTCGTTAAAGAAAAATACTTTTTGATTTTCATATTTAATACACTTTACTTGAATTAAATCTTTATTTTTCTTTTTTTCTTTGTTTGACTAGTTTATACGTATATTTTTCACCCTTTTAGTATCTAATCTTTTATAAATATCACTAAAAGCAGAATTTTTAGTGTCACAAATTGTTCTCTTAGATTCCTCACCTTATATTTTTCTCAGTACTTTAAGCTTTTACATTTAAGCCAAATTTTATAACACTTATTATATTTTATCTTTTCTTGCACATTATTATTCAACCCCCAACTATTTTTATTTATAAAAAACTTTTCCTTTTGATTCTCCAACTAAATTTTTTGTCAATTATTTAATAGTATGTGTTACTTTATAACACATGGAATTCATAAACATTTCAAATCTTGAAATCTAAAGTTTACTCAAAAATAATTTTATTTGTCTCTTAGGTATCTCATCTGATTCAATGACAACGTTTTTTTGCATTATTTATCTTACAACTCTTCATCTTAAAATTCACAACCAATATTCATGCCAACAAGTGTAAAATAATTGAGTTTTCCACAACATAAATCTTTAATATAACATAATTGTCACGCTTTACAATAACAAATGATGCACCATAGCATAATAATCCCTTAGAATCATAGTGTATGGCGTGCTGAATTAAAAATAGAGCAAAACATTAAAATCAAGAATATTGTTTAAAATTAACAATATAAGAGAAAAAAAAAAACCAAATAAGAAAAGGTCGTATCAATGTTATAAATAGAGCATAAAATAAAGTTTAACAAAAGATACTATTTCATGGTGAATTGTTCTAAAATGTTCTAAATTCAGCAACTTTCTATTTTTCTGGCTAATGAATGTAGCAATATATAAGAATTATGAAAATTGAACAATATTATCAATATAGTAACACAATATAGCTGCCAATCACATAAATTTGCATATTAAATTGAACAAATCTATGCAATAAACAAGCGAAAAAAATGTATTATTATAGCAAAATGCATGAAGATGTTAAGAAGAAAAGAGCCTAAACAAGTAATTGATAGATAAAAGAGAATGTGCACCGGGGTTGCTATGACTATAGCAGACATAGGCATGTTATTTACTTTGTGCAAATTGCTATGTAAATAAAGTAAGAAGTGCCTATGCTATATTACTGGTTAAAATATGAGCTATTTTAAATTATTAACTTGCATAATGATTGCTATAAAAATCACGCATTAATCATAGATTGAAAAAAAAAATGAAAATGCCATTGTGAAGGAATGACATTTGAAATAACTCACGGCAGCGCAAGAATCTTTTGGATGTTTCAGCACAAATCCTTGGCCTCCCACTAAAGAGTAGAAGATGTTCAGGGTCTTCAACTAACAAGATTTTATGTAAAGAAATTGTTTGTGGCCAAATGGTCCTATTTTAAATGAATAATTTTTAATCATTAATGATGATAACAGTAACTAATCGCCTATAAAACCCATTTTTCTAGAGACTATAAGCTGTACTATTTGGTTTAAAGCACTTGGAATTGATGATGGCTCCTAATTCATGGTAATTTATTTCTAGACAAGAGAAGAAAGTACTTTTTTGAATTGATATAATCCCAGAAGGTACTTAGGTACATATGAAGGAAAGTATCAGCTCATGTAACAGGTGAGGCATCAATGAATGAGTAAAGTGCTAAAGGGAGTAAAAAAATAAAATATTATCAAATTTGGACCAAGTTAAAATCCAATTATTACAGCTTTCAGTAAAAGAATACAATGCCCTATCACAGTTACATTTAAATTAGTTCCGGGACATAAAATTCAAGTCATAGGCAATCCAGCCAATACAAAAATCACCCCTCCTCCCATGTTAGTTCTTCAAAAGAGACACACATCCAAAATACACGCATAAGTCTCATCATTATCATATAGCTTTATTACAATTATTTGGAGTCAATCTTATGAACTATCATTCTATGTTTACTCTTGTTTAAACTGGCATGAGGGTCAACTCTAATCTGTGCAAACCTTCTTCTTTTTTTTTCCCCTTCCCAAAGCTTCCATCTTAACTTAAGGTTTATTTCTACTCTTATAGCACATGTTAAAACCACCTAAATTTTATTCCAACTACCTTGACTGCATTAGCTAATAAATACTACTCCTTCAATCCATCTAATATATTTTTCAACGCAAATTGTCATTTTTTCCAAAAATAATTTAGCTGCCAACGACTTCTTTAGTGGTCAACAATGATTCATATTGTATATCCAATCTAATTGCACTACTACAAATTTTCCTTCAACTCTCCATAATATTCTCTCCTCACATGGACTTTTCCATTTCAAAAAGTAAAAAAGTCTCCATAATATTCTCTCCTCACATGGACTTTTCCATTTCAACAAGTAAAAATTCTTCCCTAAACTTAGAAGTTGTCTTGACATATATATCCCCACTTCTCTGCATAAAAAATCCAAGATCAGTTGAGCATGGGTATCAATTGTATGGCATTATTGATTTACTATAATTAATTTCACATGCACTAAACCCAAATATCACATATTCAATCTTTGTTCAATAAATATGATGCCTCTAATTTTTTAAAATGTTTCCTCAAATATTTTAATTATTTAATTATTCCATAGAATCTTCACAAATTAAAACTACTCATCTGCTAATAGCATACGTAATATATCCTACAAGAATATCCTTTACAAGTATTTCTATAATTAATACAAAAATATACAAATTGCTATGATCCTTGAAGTAATTCTCCAATGATTTCAATCACATTCATTACTCTAAAACTCCATTAGTACTAGACAATGGTTCATTATACATAAATATTAATAACATCATTCCTTTGCAGAATCCTTCGAATATTTATAGTCACTAAATCAATTATCACAGTATTTGAGGTCTTCTTAAGATTAATAAAAGATAAATGAAATTCTTTTTTTGATCTGTATATTTCCCATTAATTGACTTGTGCCTCCATAATGAAAATCATAAAAAAAATTAATTCTCTATTATTGACAAGATTTTTCAAGGACTAGATTCAATTAGCCTCTCATATAACTTCATTCTCTGAATCATTCAATCGATTCATTTTATAATTACATGAATCTAGATAAAAATTCTTTGTTTAGAATACTACATTAAAATGTTTCTTCTTCAATCATTTGACATCCTCTTACTGTAAGAATAGAAAAGATTTATTATCAAAATCACTTCAAAATCCTTCATAAGTATTCAAATATTAATAAATATCTCATGTACACCCAAACATTCACCTCTAAGCATGCTTTTTAAAACTAACTCAACATAGATTTTGGCATAAGGAAATTTGAACCCCACTTCTGAATAATGGCTTAGGTCAGGGTATATTTTATCATAGAAAAATGAAGGAAGACTTACTATAGTCTTATTATGATTGTTATAAATATAGAAGGCTAGCTCTGAAGCTAAACAACTCAATTTGGTAAAAATTTTCCCACTATTGTAGATGGAAGTAGGTTAACAGCTCTTATCAACTCTTTAGGTTCATTTGATAGTGTTTTTCAGCATTGCTTCAATTGAAAACCTAATAATGCATTTCAAATATTTTGTTTGTCCAAATCTATCAAATTTTAATCATTTTGTTCAGTAATGTGAAATAAAAATCCATTCCTCGTGTATGAATCCCTTCCATGTCTTTAATTTCATGAAAAGTGCACTTTATTTGCACCGCACAAGAAACCAAAGAAGCCATACTTATCCATCTCATGTGCCAAGTAGAGATTCAGAGATATAGAGAGGAATGGAGTCTAGAAATTACTGTGTACTCCCATTTACTTGGGATTAGACGACATTTTATTGGCTATTACTGCTCCAACTTCCAGAACCAAACCTATTAACATAAGTATCAGGACAACTAGAGCACCCTGTTGAATCACCAAATAGAGTGGAAAAGTACCTACTTGTTTATTTTACTTCTGTGAATTCAGTTAATAAGTCCTAATAAAGCAAGTTCCAAGCACGAAGCTATATATAAAAGTTCCTAGGATCCACTCATCAATTTGTTTCAATTAAATCATAAACTTTATAGCTTAAGGTAATAATTATTGGAACACACTTGCAGGCATATCTGACTATATATATAAAACTGAACGCCATATAAACCTTTCATCCTAATGTACCATAAGAAATGGTCGGAAGAAACATCATCCAAAATGGGTTGATTCTTATAAACTTGGCTTGATTAAATTTTGCCTTATTTATCTTGAAAATAAATCATGTTCTTCTACCACCAATCTCAAAAAAAGCCTAATAGAATTTGGTCGATTCATGTGCATGCACATCAAATTTATGTCTATTAACAACTAAGATTGTAAATGATCGCCAACTTGTTTGATTCCAAACAAAAGTTGATTGAAAGAAAATAAAGAAGTTGGGTGGAGAGGAAAGAAAAAAACTGAGACACTCTTTTGTGTTCTCATTCGGAATTTTAAGAGAGAAAAGAAAATTATTCATCACATCATGATTGAGAGCAAAGAGATAACAAATGTTTTAGTTAATTTAACATATATAACCTCATTAAGAAAATATTAATAGGCCAGAATTAAAAGGAAATATAAGTTTATTCTTCTTTCTAAGCAAAGTAGTTTGAGAATTACTAAATTTTTATGTATACAAATTTCTTTCTCTGCATTTTCAATTGCATTGGGAGACAAACAAAATCCACATAAAGTAAATTCATTTTCTCTTTTCCTTATCTTCTCCAATACCAAATAAAAAATGATTTAGTTAATTTAACATATATAGCCCCATTAAGAAAATATTAATAGGCCTGGATTAAAAGGAAGTACACTTTTATTCTTCTTTCTAAGCAAAGTAGTTTGGGTATTACTAAAATTTTATGTATACAAATTTCTTTCTCTGCATTTTCAATTTCTTTGAGAGACAAACAAAAATCCTCCATAAAAGTAAATTCATTTTCTCTTTTCCTTATCTTCTCCAATACCAGTTAACTCTCAAAAGAAAATGTTCACTTTCTTTGCAATTCATATCTTTTATATCTAAAGTTTGTAGAGAAAGTAATTAAAATAAAAATTAATACTTTATTTCAAAAGGAAGTTCAAAATAAGAATAAAAAGAAAGGAGACTAAAAAGTTTCCTTTGTAAGGAGGATTTGTTTTCACTTCCAAAATGAGCAGAACTAGGGAGCAAGGAATTCACACAAGTGCTTGTTTAATAGCACTCAAAATACCCATGATATAATAAAAGAACAATGTTTATTCTCTCTCAAACCCAACCTATACATCTTCTTTCCTATGGTTAGAAGGAATAGTTTGATTAAACAATATTAAATACATTAAGTATATAATTAATGGTTAAAATGTTAGTTTACGCAAACTATGGATTAATTATGATTTGATTAAGCTATATATGACTTTTGAGCATTTAAGTGAGATAATTAGACATAAAATATTAATTACTATGTTAATTAGTTTAAATAATTAGAATGTTTTCTCAATTTAATTTAAAAAATTAAGCACTGCTTTGAAACAATCAATCCTAAAAGTGTATATCCATTACAACTACCATTTTCTCTTCTTTTACTTTTCTCTGAACCCTTAATCAACAACGAAATGCATAGTTTTCTTCTCCCTAAGGCAATGTTTGGCTGCATTTTAGATATATGTTAAATAGGATATATCAAATCCTATAAATCGGTATTTATCTAATCCCTGCTACAATGGAAGAAATTGTGAGCGACGGCAGGATAAATCTGCCTCGAAATCAGATTTATGAAGTTCAAATTTACATCCTCAAAATGATGGAACAAAGGAAAATTATGTTTAACGGGGCATTGGATTTAATTTTTATTTTTTTTTATGTTTGGTTGGATTTAAGTTAAACCCATGGCCAAATCCAATTAATAGTATGCTACCAAACACCGCCTAAGAAATGTGAATAAAAAAGAACAAAAACTATATCCCTTTCTTTTCTCTACCCAAACCCCTTTCTTTTCTTCACTCAACTCTCAATCAAAATAAAATTTTAATTCCTAGTTAAGGTGTTGAAATTCCCGAACCCTAAGAGAAATTCCTTATATTCTTTCTTCAAATTAAATTGAAGAATAAAAAGAAAATTTAAAGATTATGCAATTTGCAGCAATTTCAAGGATGTTAAGATTAAAAACAGTCCAGAAGACTTGACCCCCTACATCTTCTAAATATCACTAACAACATTATCATTCGTCGTTGATAAATCATCACTTAACCAAATCCATCTCTCCTCTAAAGTTTGCTCAGCATAAACTATTGATTGTCATGCAACTAAACCAACAATAAAATCCAGAAAACCAGACTGCCAAGTTGATTCATCAAATAGAACACATCCAGAACACCCTAAATAAGCGACAGAACTTACAAAAGTAATAACTAGTCATACCCTAGGCAGATAGGAGGTCAAGTTAGAATGAGCTTCTGAGCCCGGTGCGAGGGCGAAATGGAGGAAAGCCAACAGAGTGGAAGCTTTCAGCTTTCGTCGAAGCATGATCGTCAAGCGCACAGCCCGCACAATCCGACGCACCTCCTTCGCATAGGCCCCAGTCTCGATAACAGATGCAATCTCCTTCAGATCTGAATCCAAAAAGGAAAAACAGTTTCCCCATTAATAATCCAAAAAAAAAAAATCAAAATCAAAATCAAAATCAAAATCAAAAGCTGAACAAGTGAAATCGAAGAGAAAACTCACGCAGAAGGGTGGATGGAAAGGAGGCGGAGTGCACCGAGTTTGAGGGCTCCTGTGCCTCTTGCATCTCGACCTCTTGAGTCATTCCGCCGTCTCTGTAGAAAATCCGAGGGATTGGAGTTGACAAGAAGAATCAGGTATCGGAGAACGGAGATGGAGAAGATGAGAGGGGCGATTGAATTGGAAGACTATAGTGAAAAGTAGAAAGCTTATTAGGGATCCTATCGCGAAGAGCTCTTGGGGGTGTGAAAAAATAAATGACAGAAAAAATTAACAATTAGAAGAAAAATAATATAAAATTATTTAATAAAAATTATAATTTTTTTTAATATTTTAAAAATAAAAGCTTCAAATTTAATAATATTTATTAAATTTGAGTACCAATTAGTAAAAGCAAAAAACTTTCTCTAAAACTCTAAAATTATTGCATCAGGAGTACTCAGGATTACAATCACGGTCTTTCATCTGTACAGGCGGACCCATCTCACTAAAAATAAAATTAATTTAATATATGAGTGGGTCTACTTGTACATGTGGCATACCCCGATTGGAGCCCTGATGTAAAACTGCATCAGGACTTATGATGCAATAAATTTTCCTAAAACTCTATGCATTTTAACTAATTCTTCAAATAAATACAAAATAGATTTTCGTTTATGAACATGAAGAAGAATAAGTTAAGAAGGGTTTTGATCCTTATCTATAACAGCAACAACAACAATAATGATAATAAGTCTTTATACCACTAAGTGGAGTCGGCTGCATGATGCTTATCTAAGGCAATTAAAAAAAATTATAATCACAATATCATCAATATTATCTAAATTTTGATTAGATGAGTCTTATACTTAAGTTAACTTGCTCAAACTCAGGTTGACTCTAGCAACAACCAATAAACAACACCACCATTTATGATAATCAAACCATGCTTTATTATTGCTCACATCATCATTATGATCATAATGATAGATGTTTTAAAGTTTGTGCTAGGCGAGATATTCTCCAAGAAGCTTCATTGCCTTATTATTTTGATTCAAGTAAGACAAACAACACTGTTTACATTATTTATGAAATTATTCCACTCCTCAAGAGAAATATTTTAAGATAAACAACCCATTAAAGGATAAAGCATAATTAAATAAAAATTTGAAGTTTTTTTTTTTTTTTTTTTGCATTTGCAACTAAATAAGGACATGCAAATGACAACTGAGATTATTGGCATGCTCCACATTGACAACCAACTCAAAGGGCCACTTTTGGCTTACTTGAGGGCATTAATAGGTCAATGGAATGATGATCATTGTTGATGGTCATGTCCTTCATGTAAAAGTCTGCAATGGCACATAAGGATATGACCAATTAGTCTGACTTGAGCTCATTCAAATCATGATTTAACTAATTTAAGCTCTAACAAAATCGAGTTGATATTCAACCCAAAAACAGTCTACAATGTCAACTCGAGTTTGTTAGATGCAACTATTATGATAATAATCTTTTTGGAACAAATTGTTTTCATTATATAAATCATTTTCTCCTTAAAGAAGTATTTTTTTTTAAATTACACTAACTCAATGATGTGGCTTAATTAGGATATTAAATATAAAAAATTTTAATATCATGTTGAATGAATAAAATTTTATATTGTGGTGAGGACCTTAAAACCCTCAAAGTAATGGAGACACTATGATCAATATTGATACATTACAAATTAAAATAGAAAATTTTAACACGTCATAAAAAGATACTAAGAAGTTATGTGGATTAGTTTCAGCTATATCTACATCATGAGAAATGATTATGTTAGCTAAAGATATCCTAATCCATAATATATGAGTAATTACACAAAGTAATTGTTTATTCAAATAATAATTGTTCTCCAACTCAATATCATGACAAAACTAGTCCTCTATAACTTCTCTTTAAACCATGCAATTTTTATTTCCTGTAAAAGCCCTAAGAAGTACAACACCACAATTTAATCAAGCCTAAGTATTGCCTAAACTTAAATCATGTTAAAAGCATCTACTTTGAAGTGACACTACAAAAATAAAATGTGAACTTAACATAAGAAAATTTTATGCCTCCAAAGTAATTTACTTTTCATAAAGGATGTACTTTAATAAACTGATATCATAATAGGCTACAAAATACTAATTTGTTATCATTCAATCAATTTCTCCTACCATATTGTGTTTAATTTAGTTTTAAAATCATTCAGGTTGCTGGGAAGCTGACATTTTTTTTCTTGCTTCATTAGAATGTGATGAACCAAAAGAAACCACAAATGATTGATTTATTTTTTGCTCTTCTTGATCAAGCATAACTAGATCCTAAAAAGAATTAAAGTTATTCAAAATTAAACTTTTTGATCCATCAAACTTTTAAATCTTGAACTTTTAGTCTCTTAATCTCAGAAAACCACCACTACATACCAATTTATTGTAGCCACAATACAAGAAAAAAAAATAATAATAACATGACTGAGATGTATGTGCCATAAAATTAATTCAAAAAGAGCAAAAAATTTATATGTAAAGACACCAAAAATTTGATTGACTTCAACAAATTTTACATCTAAATGAGAGGAGAGATGTTTTAATCTATTAACAATATAAATGTCATTAACGTGATATGTAGAATATAAGAACTCACTATTCCTTCCCAAATCCTACTTAATACCCATGTTTAACAAAAGTAAAATATAATATCTCATATTAAAGATATTATCACCAGTTCACTGAACAATAAGATGAAACCAAATTGTTATATGCTAATTTTATAATTCAACAATAATTTTAATGAAGTGAACCAAAATTAAGAGATATTCACTCTAAGAAGCTATAACTATGAGTACATGTCTGGCTTCCTCAATATTTTATTGAGATTTAAGCTTGAAGATGAAAGTCAAGAAAGCCTTTATTTATGGTTTAAAACCTAAACTCTTTGAAAGTGATTGTTGGAGGATAGGTGCTTGCTTTTTAGTTGAGTTAGAAGAGTGGAAGAAGGAAATATGGTTTGTTATGGCCTGCCAGGAAGAATTTTATGGATTAGATGGTGAGGTTAGAGTTTATGGTTGTGAAGAAACCATAAACTTGGGAAAAAAAGTAAGCTAGTTGTTTATTATTTGATAGATTTATGGCATTAAAAAGAAGACAAGATGAGAGAGAGATCAATTATTTATTGTTATAATTTCTAGAATTTCTCGAGGGTTGTTATGGCTATGATAAGATATTAAATTTGTTGAAGAGAGGGAAACTCAAAAGCTTCCACCTTAGATTTTATTGTGATGCATTAAGAGGAAGTGAATTAAAGTAATTACATTAATAAGAATATAATAAGCCCAACTCACAAAAAATATTCTATATAAGTAACAAAACTTCATAACTTTATTCAATTTATTAGTAAGTAGAATAATAATAATACCTAATTTAAGCCAAGTAAGTGTCTACCAAGGTAATAACATAAGCTTTTGAAACACTCCATGATTGTAATATTTACAAGTCTTGATTGTCAAGGGGATACCAAGGAAATTACAAGGACGAGTGAAACTCAATGTGGCACATTTTGATTTACAACTCAAATTGTAATCAATTATGCATGTAGAAAAGTTAATGTACCGCTCTTGACTGCCTTATTTCCTTCACATTTTAAATTCATATAAGTGTTCATTGTTCATTTATGTGCTCCAATTCTTTATGCTTTAAACTTGTTGTAAGAATGTTGATACTTCTAATACTTGATGTAAGTCTATTCTCTATTATCTACTAGTTGTTTTGTGTAAATGCTTTGATTCTAATGCACCACTATAGTATTAGTTTAATCATCTCCTAAAACCCTTTCATCTTCTCATACCTTATTTTATGTTGCAAAACTACTCTCATAACGTAGGCGACCAATATTGTATTACTTCCCTAAAATGAATGCCTTAACACAACATATAATCACTCATTTTTTTTCTATAAAATTTTTGCAAAACATAATTACATCATCTCAAGAAACTTGATTATTTAACTTTGATGGCCATCAATCTCTAAAACCGCCCATTCCTATGTATTTACATATCCAATACCTAAACTTTAACTTTTTTACATTTTAACCCCCAATTCCTACACATCACATTAAAATTATTGCCATTTTAACTAAAAAAAATGAAATACACATTTTATACATGGGTAAGATGACATGTATGTAAAATTAAAATTTAGGTGTTATGAATATGTAACCACATATGACTTGTGTGGTATGTATGTGAATATTCCTTAAAATTATTATATGTGATCAATTAATAAACTATTAATTAATAATTAAAAGGAATATTATATATCTTTATTATGGTTCAATAGAATTTTAGAAAAAAAATATTAATCAATTAAATAAATTTGATACAACTAGGTTAATTAGAAATTAAATTAGTCTTAGTAATTAAGATTAATTAAAGAATATATTAACTTAAGACTGATATTATTTGTGATTTATTGAACAAATAATTTGTTTTTTGTTTAATTAATTTATTCACAATATTTTTGATGATTGGCTTTATATTTCTCTGATGAAATGAAAGATTAAAGATGTGGAACTACTTTGGGGAAGTATAAATAAATTAATCAAACAAAATACTCATTGTAAACATGTTGTAATCCCTTTAATAATAATTATAATTATTAAAATTCAATATCAACTAACAAACTTAAATTTTAAACAAAGTAAAATTTACTAGACCCAACCGTTAAATTCTAACAGCACCCAAACAGTCTGGTGGAGTAGACTTTTTCTGAAAAAACTTATTGCATAAGGAGTCCTGATATAGTTTTGCATCAAAACTCCAATCAGGACTTGCCACGTGTTCAAACACGCTTACTTATGTAATAACTTTTTTTGTTTAAACTAAAGTGGGTATGCATATATACAGTCTGATTAAAATCCTAATGCAAAATTACATTCTGAGGCAATACCACAAACCCTAAAAGAAAATTCTCAAATATCAAATATGTTAATGTTTCTTCTTTTGGGTTATTTACATCCAAGCCCCTCAAATTTTTTTACATTTATACCACCCAAATGTTTCATATCACATTCACAAATATCACTATTTCAACTAGTAAAAAATTATCAAAATTTGCAATATATATAAAAATTGAAGTTTAGGTGTCCGACTCATAAATACATAGAAATTAAGAGGTATGCATGTCAATCTTCTTTTACATTTTGATATCTAGAATACACAAGTCTCTATAGATTTAGACTAATGTCCAAAAAAAATATAATTCTCATCATAAAATTAAAGATATATATATATATATATAATATATATTTTTTTTTTTTTTTTGCATTAGTTCTAAAAGTAATTGCACACAAGATTTTTAATATTACAGAAAGCCACCATTGCAATAACCAAGGCTCAGCTTAATGAAAAATCAGTTTTCATATATATTGATCTTTTAAAAAATAATAATAATGGAAAATCCCTTAAAAAAAAAAAACTTAAAAAATATACATAAAAGCCCAAAAACATAGTTAATTTATGGATCTGGAAATTTTTATGAAATGAAATAAAGTTAAATAAAATAAAAAACCCAAATCAATAGTAATCGATTCTTAATCACTTTCTTTCACCTGCCCTATAATGAAAAAATATTACATCAGAATTCCGCACGTAGAGTTATGTGAGAAGTCCAATGAAATTACGTCGTGGAGGTGATCGGCCCGGCAACACAATGAATATTTCTCTCATGTTATTCAAGTGTTATTGTGTGTTATTCAGGTGTTATTGTGCGTTATTCTAGTATTATTGATGTGTTATTGTGTTATTATAACACCGAGAATATTCACAGAACACAAAAACACATGAATAACACAGAATATTCTCTTGTGTTACCGGGCCGATCACTTCCACGACATAATTTCATTAGACTTCGCACATAACTCTACACGCGGAGTTACATGCGGAGTCCTGATGTATATTTAAAATGCGCATAAGTAATAAATTTAGAATTACAAATTCACATCTTCATAATTATAATTAAGTTTAATAAAATAGGGGCAATCAATGAGACAAACTAAGCCACTATTTCTCATCATATTTGCACCAGGATGAGATAAAATGGCAGAATATCAAAGGTCAAGTTTATAAACTACAAAGGTCGGAAAATGAATAACAATTTGCACAAATAGCCATTAATATTTCATCCTTTTAATTTTTCCTAAAGCGAATAGGGGCATATATCTAACATCTAAACATTCATATTTATAAGCATGCCACCCATATTATTAATATCACATCAAATTAAAGGCGAAATACACATTTGCACGCATGTTTAAGAAACCAAGATTGTTATAAGTGTAAATATCAAACTTTGGGTGTTACAAATGTAAATACATGAGAACCAGGGAGATTTACATACATTCCACCTAATTCTTATTATTATTCCTGTTTAACACCCTAAACTTTAATATTACATACATACCACCCAATGCTTTCAAAATTCTTGTATTTGCTACTGCAGTCCTTCCTATTTTTGCTTTACCAACGGATACAAAGACTTCCGAAACTCTATCTTTCTCCTTCGGCCCCGCTCCTAAAGTGGAGCCTGGGCTTCTGATAGATCTATGGAAGGTCTTTGTACATTGCGATCAGGAGAAAAATGAGAACTTTGAAGGTCATTGTACGTCGCTATCCAGTGCCCGTCCCAGCTATTCAAACTACCCGGAAAGTAGCAAAATGTAGACGGAAGGCTAACAGGGTGGTACATATGAAAAATTAGAAAGAATGACACGGTATATATGTAATATTAAAGTTTAGGGTGTTATATAGGAAAATTAATAAGAATTGGGTGGTATGTATGTAAAGCCCCCTAAGAATTAAGCGGTATGTACGTAAATTTCCCATCTGAATAATAGTCATCATTCTACAAGCAGCCAACATTAACTGAGAAAATTTTAAGAACTTCAACAATATTCTTGCATTCATGGTGGGACGCCTAAACATAAAGCACAAGCCAAACTGTAAATACACTTCATACACTTCTGTAAATAAACAAAAGAATGAAAGGCTTAATTATTCAAACGATACAATTAGAATAAATCTGAGGTGAAAACTGCAATAAAAAAATACTCGTCTCCTACACCTACAAAAACGATGAGAAATTTGCAGATCAACTTACTAGACATAGATCAAATCCAGATATACACTCATGACATGCAACAATCCAGTAATACGAAGCAGACATCCAAAACATATTAAACAAAGACTTTCATGCGACTATGCCAACCAAATCATGCTCCGACGGCTTCTGTATGGATTGGCCCGTTAGATCGAAAATCACGACCCCTTCCTCGACCTTGACCTCTCCCACGAAAGCGACCGCGACCGCGGCCACGACCTGCAAGCAATTCATTGAATATTGAATTTTTATTCAATATGCTCCATTCTATACTATAACTGAATGATTCAAGACAAAGCAACCATTGTGTGATTGCAACACAAAACAGGTTCATAATTGCAGTTTATAAGAGATCTTGCCAAAATATTAGAGCCTATTTGCAATCACTTCTGTTTTTTGCTTTTTGGTTTTAATTTTTATTTTATTTTGCTTGAGTTTTGACAAGAACAAAAAACATGTATGTATTTTAAAAATGTGTTATTTTTATTTATTTATGAGGAAATAGCAGCAGGGCGGTGGTCCCTAATAGCAACAGTGGAGGTGGCCGGAGCCCTGAGCTGGTCTTTAGTAGTGATGGGGGTCACAGTGATATTTGTTTTTAAAAGCACTCGAAACAACTAAACATTGCTAGAAAATTGCTTGAAGTGTTTGAAAAAAATAACTAGATTTAATTTTTAAAAAATAAAAAACAATTTAAAACACACTAAATAAACATATTTTTTTAAATAAAAATAGTCATAATAATGATTCCAAACTAGCTCTTAGTTAACAAGGCTGGTATGAAGCAAGGTTATTGACAAGTGACATCTAAAAACATTACATAGCAACACTACCTTAACAACCCATGGTATAGAAGGAAGTGCATTAAGTACATGAATATAAGAAAAAGAAACCATAAAAATAAAGCATAATCCAGAAATGTATATGCCTCGGAATTACGTCTAACATGGAGGAAGTAACCCCAATAAATTGTCCATGCTTCATGGATGTGGGAAAGAAGATGGATGGACAGAAAAAAAAATAACATAAAATTTGTGTTAACGATAAACTTAAGTGATGCATGTAGAGGAGCCTTCGAACAGGGAACTGATCTTCATTTACACACCCATCTTTATGTTAGGTTTTAAGGTGTTCTATTTGATTGTTTTACTAATATAAATTTGAATCTTCGAAAACTCTTTAAATAGCATCACATCATAAACGAACATGGAATTGTTCTCTTTTTATGCGCTTTTCATGTACAAAATTTAAAAGTTATGTCTACCTATCTATCTATTTATCTATCAATGATAGCTCTACTTATTGGATTATTGCTAAAAGGTAAAAGGTCATTGATATTAAACTTTAATATATTATAATTAAATAAGTTATATTGAATCAGCTTTTATTCAAATAGTATGCAAGTCAATGAGTTCAGTATCAAACATTTAACAAATCACTTGTTGACAGTTTGACACATAATATTTAATTAAAAACTAATATAAGAAAGCCTTGGCATTGTCAAGTAATAGAGATCTCACTCTCAACATGAAACATATAAGAAAATCAACGTCAATTCTACAAAGTCTCGGGCTTTCAAAATTGTTGACTACATTCCCAAAAAAGAAAAACTCTAAATTTTTCATCTTATTTATACATGCGCTTTAAAAGAAACCACTATTTATAGATAGGAATTAGTTATCTACAAACATTAATGCATTGATGCGAGTAAGTTTGTTCGTCAATAAAGGTCAAATTCAGACAAAAAGAACCCAAACTTTACATCAATGCTCAAAAACAAAGGACAAAAATAGACTACACATGCCCTAAGAGAAAAATATATTATTATGCTATCCAATGTTACCATTGAGGTGGTTTGGATCATTCAGAGTCCAAGTTACACAAAAGTTTGTGTTTTTTATAGGTCATCTAGATACATATCACTCAATTCCTATGCATTCACATATCTAACACTTAAAGTTTACTTTTTACATTTATATCACCCAAACTTTTCATTAACAAAAAAAAATACCACCATTTTAACATAAAAAATACCACCATTTTAACTTTTAAAAAAGTAAAATACAGATTTTCATGAATAGGTAAGGTGATATGTACGTTAAAATTGAAGTTTAGGCATTAGAAATGTAAATACATAGATATTAAGTGGTGTGTATGTAAATCTTTCTCTTTTATAATGCCATATTACTCTATCATTGCAATCCACCTTCTTGCTATAAATATTACCATAACAAGCAACAACCAGTCAATTCTAGGTTCACCATATTGAAGACATGGTAAAGAACATCACACCATCTTTAGAGCCTATATATCTGCATTATGTCAGCTTCTCTGAAGAAAATTGAAGCAGGGTTAATTCTGATAAATTCAAAAAGTTGAAGGTTTGTTTACTCTGAAAACAAACAAAAAGATAGAAGTTATAGATTTAATTGAGAGCAATGATATTTGAGAATTATTGGTGATATTATAATGATTTGTTTAATGAATGATTTCAGTGCATTTTTAAAAACTCGGTACGTTAAATGAGCCAGTATTTTAAAAATAATATTTGGCGAAAGGATATTCAAATTGTAAAAACTATAAAAAAATAAATTTACAACTGGTGGCTAAAATGAACCGATAAAAAAAAAGATTAAAACCAAAGCAACATTTATAGAATAAAGACTTGTTACACGATATGTAACTTTCGTGGGTGGTGAATATTGGGATCCCTACCTGAACAAGTGCATATTGGGATAAATTTTCTGGGAAAGAATGCTTAACAAGATAATTAAGTAGGACAAAGCTAAAAATTGATTTGGCCTTATTTAACTAAATTCGTGCCTAAATAAGCGTATAATTGTATGTCAACCTTAAGGAAAAATTGAACATGCAACAAAATCAGCGAACATATTAATCACTTAGAAGACTAAAAGATCCAAAACATATAAGACATCGAACTACATGAACACACACACACACACACAGATTATAAGAGCAATAACCACTATCGCAGGTTGATCTATTAATCCCCTCATTTGTCCTTGGCCAAAAGATTCAATCTTATCCAAACTATTCTGCCAACATACTCCATTGTTTAGCTAATCGTTCATCTCAAAATGACAATCTCAAGGAAATTACCCAATACACGTAAAAATGATATAACAATGTTTCCGATTTTGGCAGGTCTCTATAAGAGATGACATTATTGGTCTCTAATCATGCTGACATGCACTCATTATTATGAAATTCATTTCATAAGATTCAAAAGTTTAAAGTTTGTTATATCTATGATCAGCTATTCCGCAGGTTGTTCATCGCAAAATGACCGTCTCAAGGTAAAGAGTTGATAAATGTAGATATGTCAGGCCATTGGCATAGATTTATGATCAGTACATTCAAAAATGACAACATTCTAAGAATTATTTGTCATCTGACTGTCAAAACATTGATCCAATAATGTTGATACAACAACAACAACAACAACAAAGCCTTAATCCCACTGTGGGGTCGGCTACATGAATCTTTTTTCTCTATTGCGTCATATTTAGTGTCAAATTTTCATTTAGTTCTAGTAAATTAAGATCATTTTTAATACAATAAGCCCAAGTCTTCCTAGGTCTACCTCTGTCTTTCTTAACAAAACTCGAATCTAAAACATCTACTCTCCTAATCGGATCATCAGATGGTCGACGTTTAATGTGACCAAACCATCTAAGACGACTTTCTTTAATTTTTCCCGTCACAGGAGCTACACCAACCCTATCACGGATATATTCATTTCGCATTTTGTCTCTAAGGGTAAAGCCACTCATCCACCTAATCATTCTCATCTCGACAACACTTAACTTATTATTATGCTTCTCTTTTAAAGGCCAACATTCAGCGCCATAGAGCATTGCAGGTCTCACCACCATCTTATAAAATTTTCCTTTCAGTCTTAGCGGTACTTTTCTATCACACAAAAGGATCGAAGCATTCCTCCACTTCAACCAACCAACTTGAATTCTATTATTAACATCCTCATCTATATCACCATAACTTTGAAGAACGGACCCAAGATATCTAAATTGTTCACACATTTTAATAATTTGATCACTCAAAGTCACACTTTTGTCACTAGAGCTATTACTAATAAAATTACATTCCATGTATTCAGTTTTAGTTCTACTTAAACGAAGGCCTTTAGACTCAAATGTAGACCTCCATAATTCAAGTTTGATCCCTTTACCAATTCCATAATAGGTATGTGAAGATGTTTCAATAGATTTTGTTAGAGGAAAAAAGCAAAAAGCATACACCAAGGTACATCCTCCTGTAGATGTCCAGTAAGACCATCCATAACTAAAGCAAAAGGATATGGGCTTAAAGCTGATCCCTAATGTAATCCAATAGGAATGGGAAAATATTTGGTCAATCCTCCTTCAGTTTGAACACAAGTAATAGCTCTGGTATACATATCTTTAATGACTTGAATATAAGTCATATCAACACTTTTCTTCTCAAGAACTCTCCAAAGGATATCTCTTGGAACCTTATCGTAAGCTTTTTCTAAATCAATAAAAATCAAATGTAGATTCTCCTTATTATCTCTGAACTTCTCCATCAAACCTCTCAATAAATGTATAGCTTCCATAGTAGACCTGCCAGGCATAAATCCAAATTGATTATAAGAAATCTTTGTA